ACGGCGTCGTGCTACCGCGGGAACGAAATGGGAAGTCAACTCCACTTCAATTATGCAAGACTTCAATCTACGCCTGCATCGCACATCCTCTCGTTCAGCAAGCGCGTCGCGGCTTGAGACAAACGATCAGTATGAGAGGGGTAGATTTTTGCATTCGCGAAAAAAGTAATAAGAACGTATTTGTTTATCTGTCGCCGCGGGGTCGAGTCTGCCGTCTGCGTGTGTACCCAAAACGACAATCACTGCGCTCGTCGATCAAAATCCTCCGGGGTAGCCGTGGCAGGATAAACTCCGAGCTGTGCGTTATTCTAAATGGCCGACTCGAGCAGATCATCCCACTTCCTGGTGTTGAGCGTGTGCCTGGCCGTCGTTTTGGCCGTAAACGGTTTAGCTTGGCCGTCCGTTGCGAGTCAGAAATGAGGCTTCGGCAATGGATTACGAACCAATCGATGGTGGACATAAGCGATGAGGATATCAGGCGCCTTGCGGCTCTACGGATGAACACGCACTGCGTCTGCCTTGTGGCGTTCATTCCTGTGGATGTCGTGCATTGCCGGAATCCTACCATGACGAATTTGCAGGGCATCTGGTAGGGGCGCAAGCCGCAAACGTGTGTGCAAGCTTTGTGGCGGCGTAGGAACCAAAACGTGCTAAGCTCTCGTTGGAGGGCAATCACCGTTTGCCAATCATACGCCTTGCATGCAACGGCATGGGTCGCGGAAGCGGAAGGACCCTCACACGCTATGCTGTGCCGTGGGAGCGAGAGGGACTTACGCCGTCGTCTTGGTAGTTTTAGTAGTGCAACAACGAGTCGAGAAGCCGTATAGACCCTGTCGAGGCCCATCAAGTTATTGTCTCAAACTCGACCAGGGCAAATGCAGTGAAAGTCCCATGGGGCTTAGCGAGAGACCCACCTATTCGCGGGCGTCCGGCACATGCGCCATCTTCCACGTGGATGCGAGGAACGCGATATGCGGGCTTATTACAACCAGCAAAACAAAAAGTCAGTGATGCATCGTGATAGTGGCGTCGCTCAGTAAGCATCAGTAGCTGTTTGATAGTCAAACTATGTGTTATGGATAGCTGGTGCGGGAGGTGCGGCTCGCCATCGGTCCTTTCTTAGCCCAGCCGAGAAGCAAAACTCCACATTTCAGAGTCGTTTCTGACAGGTGCCCCGGCTGCTAGTTAGCGACCTAAGGTTTTAGGAGACCAATCAACGGGCACTAATTTGGGAGCCGTGAGCGTTCAGATGCCGCGGAGTAGGACAGGCACAACCATGTGCGATTTGCAAAGTCGGCGAGCATATGGAAAGGCGTAAAAGAGGCCCCACGCTCTGCATTTCGCTTTCGGATTCCTGTCAAACTTTCCTTCTTCTCTGAATAAGCCAGGTGCATGATGGCAATTACAGATATCCAAGGCAATGGGTCATACCCAGGGCTTCTCGTGTTGTCAGCTCTGTTAGTATCGACCTACGTAATCGTTACTGGAATCTATCGCCTCTACTTCCATCCACTCGCGGCGTTCCCGGGGCCGTTCTGGGCCCGCTTGACTGTGTTCCCGTCATGGTGGCACACTCGTACTGGCGACCGACACGTTTGGTTGTATAGTCTGCAGGAGAAGTATGGTATGGTGGCCTGATTTCATCCCCAGAGTCAGTGAGTTGTTAACGATTGGTAGGACCCGAGTTCCGGTATCGTCCAGACAGTGTCGTGCTCAACACGCCTGCTGCTTTCAAGAAGATCTTTGGACCAAAGGGAAATGTTAAGAAAGGCCTCTACTACGAAGTGTGGCCACGTAATGTCCACACTATCAACACATGGAGCACCACCAGTGTTGAGGTGCACTCGCGCAAGCGTCGTGTGCTGAACTACGCTTTCTCAGAGGCGGCGCTGCGAGATGCTGAGGTCTTCCTTCACGCAAACATCGACCGTTGGCTGGAGCTGATTGGTCAACAAGCGCCAAAAGCTGGCGAGTGGACGACCTCTATCAACATGTGTGACTGGATGAACTGGCTTGTTTTCGACATCCTTGGTGACTTGTGCTTCGGTAAGAACTTCGACATGAAGGAGCCTGGAAGCGATCTCCGCCACATCCCCGAAGTCATGGTCCAATTCATGGAAATTCTTCATCCAGTTAGTCCCCTGCATCAGATCATTGATCGACCATGCTGACATTCCAAAGATTGCATTCGGCCCGTTGTCCAACGCTTGGGTATGGATGAAGCCTCGTGGGCTCGACAAGCTTCTGGAGGTCGCCTCACCGCCAGTAGTCAAGAAGTGGCAGGACTTCGTTGAAGGATGCCTTGAGAAACGGTCCGCGGTCGAACACGAATTGGAGAAGAATCCCAAGCCTGAGGGTGAGGTCCGAAAGGACTTCTTTCACTGGCTTTTCAAGGCTGTTGATCCCGAAACTGGCAAGCGTGGCTACAGCGAGCATGAGCTCTTCGCTGAGTGCGAGTTGCTGACCATTGCTGGTTCCGATACGACATCTGTCGTAATGTCTGCCGCCTTCTTCTACCTGGCTCGTCGACCGGAGGTACAGGCCAAGATTGCTGAAGAGGTCAAGTCAGTCTTCTCAAGCTATGACGAGATCAAGTCTGGTTCCAAGATCATGTCCTGCAAATACCTCACCGCGTTTCTTAATGAAGCCATGCGCATGACACCACCAGTCGCAGCAGAGCCCAGCCGTGAGGTACTCCCTGGCGGAACGACTGTCGGCGATCACTACTTCCCCGCTGGCCTCCACGTCAGCACCGGTCTTTACTGTCTCAGCTACAACGAGAATGTCTTCCCGGAGCCCTTCAAGTTCCGCCCTGAGCGCTGGATCGTAGACGAGACTGGGAAGGAAGGATCCTCAGCTGAGAGTGTGGCATTGGCGGAGAACGGTTTCTGTGCCTTCTCCTATGGAACCAGGGGCTGCGTTGGAAAGAACCTTGCCTGGCTGGAGATGCGACTTGTCATTGCCAAGACACTCTGGATGTACGAGGTTCGGCCTGATCCAGAGAACACACTTGGTGGAGGCAACCGAAATGGGAAGCCTGGGCGACAGACGGAGGATCAATACCAGATTTACGACATCTTCGTGGCCGGCAGGAAGGGACCGATGCTGCAGATGCGCAAGAGGTAATGTTGAGTAAGATGAGCCATTTGTGCAGACGACCGAAGTAAAGCCTGCAACGTAAGATAGTAATCTTGGCTAGCCAATTGAGCATATCCTGATCTCTTTGAGAACGTCGTCCATGTACAACACCACGTGTCGCCAGGTGCGTGCGCGTGTCTGTGGTGCAAACGGTGGTGCGACCGTTCAGTCCCTGACGATCCTCAAAGAACTGACAACCGTTGTACATGTATTGCGCACAGTCGGGAGTGTCGTCGCGCAGCCTCGCTAGGTGATCTGGTGTTGTTGTCGCCTCAGAGGGTTTGCCGTCACCGTCAGCGCCTGCCCAGAAGGACATCCACGTGACGTCCCTAGCGGGGCCGATCAGAGGAGCTTCCTCAAGCTCCGGACCGGTCCTTCTTTCTTCAACTGCTCAACACCAACAACGTCGAATCTGTATTCCGTCGTGCGACCGTCGTTGTGCCCGACACGATATGACGATGTTTTTGGCCCCCATCGCAAGCCACCGGCATGCCTCAGACGGCAATGCCAGGCGAGACTCGAACGCCATTCGACCGCAGCGGCACAGCGCCGTATTTTTAGCTCAGCTGGCCCCCAAATCCTGACCGGACAATTGCTGTGATCGCATTGCTGCAACCTGTAAAGCGATGCATTCCTTACTGTTACGCTCATCGTTCTGAGCTCCTTCATCGCTACTGACGCCTTTGCGCAACGCCGTCTTTCTGACATCGAACATCAGGCTATCAGCCTTCAATCTGGAGTTACGCGGGTTGATCAGCACAAGGCTGAGCGGCTCGTCAAGCCCCGCGACGCCAGCGCAAATCAAAGGCACGACGAGCTTGATTCCACGACAGCCGTTCGCTTCGCCTGGACTGCACATGGTGTGCCGCACTAGGGCAGCTTTTCCTGCCTGAGTAGGGCGAAAGCATCCGTGGGCACATATTGGTGTGATGGAACCAGGCTGACCGGTGCAACGCATAGGCTGCAAGGTACCGCCAGCCTCGTGCAACCTCTTGTGCGATTTGGTGATTTCCCGCCTTTTTTTGTGGCTTCTCTCTTTCCTTTGACCTCGCTCGCTTTTGTCCTACGGTCGCTACACATTGCAAACATCATTGCACAGTACAAGAACGTGAGCGCACGCCGCGCATACACAAAACGAAATGCGGTCACCATCCGTAGAAGGAGTACCATCGCACCTCCAGGTTGGCTCCCCGAACAGTAGGAGAACCTCCGATATCACAGTTCCTTCTGCTTTGCGCGTTGGCTCTCCAACAACTGGCGATAACCCACCCATCCACGCTCGGCCACCATTGCGTCGCAAGAACACGTCTGGCGCTTCCGACAGGCTCTCGCAACTCTTTCCGTCCCGACCATCCTCAGTCGCCTCAATCGCATCTCCTAGCAGCACCCCTGCATCAAGACGTCAGTCGTTTCCTTCGCCTCTGCTACCGGCCGCAGAACCCTCGTATCGCATACCTCGTGCTCCGGCGCCGCCCTCTTTTGCCCAAGAAACATCATACAACCCTGTCGCGAGCGTGTTTACTCAAGATCGCGCATCACCGTCGTTGGGCAAGAGCAACAGTAGGACCAAACGGGTCCTCGACCGAATCGCATCGCTGCACAGGGGAGCCTCTCATGGAGGACGTTACAACCGACTGGATGATGAGGAATCACAATCCGGCAGAAGACGCCTTGTAGGAGTCGACGAGGGGGACGAAGCAGTTGGATATGATCTGAGCTCGCTAGGCGGTCTGCCGCTGAAAACATTCGAGGCGCAATCGCGGACACAGGACATACATGAAGGACAAGAGCGTGGCAGAGACATGGATGAAGCTAGTCACGCCGCAGAATTTGAGCGTCTCGAGGCGCAACTCGGAGCTGGAATGACGTCTGTGCTCCATGTTCCGTTTGAGCACACCCCAGCTGGACCAGTACCAGGCTTCTTTCCAGGCCACCGACGAATTCTGACAAGAGCGGATGTAGTAGACGAGCAGGCCAAAAAAGCGCAAGACGAGGCTGAAAATACCGGCAAAGTCGTTGCTGTTGCAGCGGAGGTTCCAGTCGATATCAGCGAATTCACAGGAGTTGCTCGCGACTTCGACTCTATGAGAACTTTGACGGCTGAGGCTGGTCTCATTTCCAGTGGTGCACAGACTAGCTACTTTTTTCCTGAAGGCAAGTTTCCCATACATTGTATGTGTCTAGAGATAGCATCTAACACGCATGTAGATCCCCAGATGCCTGCATGGCGGCCCCTTACTATGAGCTCGTGGTGGATCCTTATGCTCATTATTCTTGCACTTGCACTCGCTGGTGTACAGGAATATCTCTGCCAGGTTTCCTTACGCGATGTCAGAGATCATCCAAAAAATGGTGGGTTGTGGAAGTTCAAGAAGGTTAACAGCTTGTCTGTCGCGGAATACTTCACCTGGCAATACGCGCCCATCATGATTTCGGTCTTCTATGGCGTTCTCTGGCAAATGTCGGATTTCGAGGTCAAACGTTTGGAGCCATTTTACCAGCTATCCAAGAAGACAGGCGCGACAGCAGGGGAATCGCTGAATATGGACTACTTGACGTTCTTGAGCTTCCTAGTACCACTGAGAGCACTTCGTCACAGACAATACGCTGTCATTTACAGCTCGTTGGGCACATTGGTCGCTAGCAGTCTTGTACCTGTCTTGCAGAGTGCTTCTATGACTATGTGGCCAGACGAGAAGGACCGTAATCTTGGCGACTGGAAGGCTGTGAGAGTCGAACCGGCCTGGTCTAGAGCGCTTTCAGCGTGCCTTTTGATTGTCGCAGCTTGTGGCGGGGCGCTGATGTACGCGATGCAAAGAAAGAGCGGCTTGCAGTCGGACCCCAAGGGCATCGCAGGCATCGCGGCCATGGCTACAAAAAGCCATATCCTTACGGATTTCAAAGGGCTTGATCAGGCTTCCTTGCCACAGATACATAAGCAGCTTCGCCAAAGAAGATATATCCTGCACAAAAGCTCACTCTGGCAAGGAGAATACATAAAGAGCAAGGAAAAGATACACGAGCAAGGCTCTGATCCTAGGCCGCTCATGCTTCGTATGTGGGCGGGCGTACCCTTCATTGGTTTCCTCTTCTTGTTCACCATTGCGGTTCCACTCCTCACATTCGTTGAGGAGACGGGCATCATCACACAAACGCTGCCCTGGATGATGACAGGAATAGCGACTGTCATACGCATACTCTGGAACACCATGAACAGCGATGTTCGCATGCTACAACCTTTCTACCTCCTTTCCCTTCGACACGCCCCCGCCAAGACTCTGACTCTCGACTATGCTGGCACGAATCCTCTCTGGTTGCCCTTCGAAGCCTTCCTCAATGGGCATTACCTTGTCATGCTCGTCGCCTTTGGATCCATCCTTGCCGAGATACTAACCGTCTGCGTAAGTTCGCTCAGCGTCGACGGTAAGAAATTCATACCCGGATTCGGCGGCCAAAATCAGGATGACGACCACGATGGCGACAATAGCGAGTCGAATGATCGATGGAACACAGACCAAACGTTTCGCAGCTTCTGGTGGAGCTTCATTCTCACCATGTTCATCTTGATCTATCTTATCAGCATCGCTCTCCTTACGTACGCGAAGCGCAGTCAGAAGTTCATGCCCCGCGAGATCGGCACAATGGCCTCTGTCCTCGCTTTCATCCATCAGTCCAAGATGCTATTCAGCTTCATTGACACGGAAAAGCTGAACTCAAGGGAGATGACGAAGCACCTAGAGAAGAGCGGGAAGACGTACGCGTTGGGCTGGTTCCAAGGAAGAGATGGCGAAGATCACTTGGGCATCGACGAAGAAGAGATCAGCAGCGCGTACGTCTTTGGCAAGGATTGGACTGAAGGGCGGCTGAGACCAGGTAGAGATCTGACGTGGGAGGTTTATTAGACGCGCCGTCACACGATATAATGCATCTCCATTTCCATCGACATGAAGAACGCGCATGCAATTACTAACGTTGACTCCCCACCCCGTATTCACAACCCTAGCGCCGAGACGCCATTATGCTGGTATAATAATCCGTTCTGACGCGTATGTGCCGCGTCATATGTCCCCGCTCCCGTCTCATCCTCATCCCCATCGCACGTTTATCCTCATATTCCCTCCGTCCGTCCCCTCCTAACTCTGCTCCCCAACATTCCCCACCAGCCAATCCATACCCTCCTGGACACCCCTACCATCCACCGCACTACAAGCCACAATACTCCAATTCCTATCTTTGAGCTCCCCCAACTTGAGCGCCTCGCTGATCTCGCCCGCGCCCTTGGCGCCCGGTTGATCTTGTTTGTTTGCGAAGACGAGGAGGGCGGCGTCGCGCAGCTCTTCTTCGTTGAGCATGGCGCGCAGTTCTTCGCTGGCGGTGGTCAGGCGCTCGATGTCTGTGCTGTCGATTACGAAGATTACGGCGGCGGTGTTGGCGTAGTAGCAGCGCCAGTAGGGGCGGATGGAGGTTTGGCCGCCGAGGTCCTGGGGGGTGGGGTGTTAGATGGTGGGTGTGGGTGTGAAGAGGAAGGTGGTTGAGGGGGTGGGTGTGGTTATGGATGGGGGAAGGTAGGTGTTTCTGAAGGAGGGAGAGGCGGGAGGTGAACTTACCCAGACGTTGAAATTGAGGTTCTTGTATGTGACGGATTCGACGTTGAAGCCTATTGTTGGTATCGTTGTGACTACCTCGCCAATCTGGAGGGGTTGTTAGCCTCTATATACCTCGTGTCCATACCCAGGATGCATATTGTTTCCATATTCGCATGCCTCCTTTCTTTCCTCTTTGGATATCGCATACCTTCAGTCTGTATAGTAGCGTCGTCTTTCCAGCGTTATCCTGCATTTGTAATCAGCATAATGCCTCCATACTGGCCGTGCTGAGGTATTCCTACCAGCCCCAGAATCAATATCCGTATCTCCTTCTTTGCCCATATCAGCTTTGTAAACGTCGATAAGTAGCCGCCCATGTTGTTCTCCCTGTGTCTTGTCCGCCCGCTCGTGAGGTCCGTTTGTATGCGGCGTTGACCGCTGGTCTGGTTGTTTCGGCGAAAGGGACGGTTTCGAGGATGTCGGCGATATGGCGGTTTCGTGAACGTGGTTTAATTGTTATGCAATTAGCTTGGAGAGAGTTGGGCGTATCTTGTCTTATGAGTTGGAGTGTTTCAGTGTTGCTGTCTGGCCATAAAGTTAGGCCGTCGCGTGCAAACAGGACAAACAGACCGAGGTCGTCGGCGGCAACTTTTGCCGATGTTCGGGCGGACCACGGGTAGAATTGATCTAGCCACGCTCCAGTTGTCTAGCGTTACACTACAACCCCATCATCCACACCATGCCTTACGATCGCGATGTAGTCGTTAGTTGCATCGAGAGGCACTATGATTTGCTCGTGCGCATGGCCTACCTCGACCCGGACACGATCCTCCGCCCGCCGCCTGAAGGTTGGAGTGATGAGCAGCTCGCTGTTGACACATTACAAGAGTGGAAACGGTCGGACCGAGTCATTGATCTCTTGCGTCACTTGCCTTATCTGAGCAAGAATATGGGTGACTCTAAATACGAGGTCTATATTGTAACGGAAGCATGCAATTACCTTCGCAATTATGGCTGGCTGAAAGATGCGGACAAAAAGAAGGCTATCAGGCGTATGTCGCCATGCGGAGAGGGGCAGGAAATACCTGCTGGAATGATACCGTTGAGTCAGGGCAACGAAGCGACAGTGTGGATGATAGATACGGACCAAGGTATGAGCCGCATACAACGTGCATCACCGGATATTGACAGGTTTCACTAGGGATAATCTGGCCCATGGGACCGTTCATTGTAGACCGTAGTGCACCAGATGACCAGTTTTGGCGGCAGGCCGCAAAGCCTCGAGAGGTTCAGCAGTACTTCGATGAGCTCTACGACGAGATCGAAACCTTGGTCACCGTTCCTGTACCATTGACGCGAGGTAGCGATGCATGGTACAACGAGATGGTGGATCATCGAGACAACAATGCAAAGGTGAGTGCGATCCTCTCGGCGAACGTGACCGGAAGACTCATCAAGCAAATGAACAGCTACCCAAGCGCTTGCTGAAAGAGTATGGTTGGCCCTCAGCTTTCAGAAAGGCAGAGTATCTCAAAGCTCTCGAACAAGAACGTCTCGACGCTAAACGCAAAGAAGCGGAACGGAAAGAAGAAGGCGCGAGGAAACATGCACAAAGGCGTTTTATAGCAGTTGACAAGACGTATGATTTGCGTTCCAAGAATGGAAGCGCTGACAGCACAAAGTGACAAATCTCACGATAGATCACTACGCATTCTCCTATCTTCTTATTTGGGTCGGTCACACGCATTACCACCGCTTCCGAACGTTCGAGACGAACAAACAGCCTCATGTACGAAGTTATATAGCAAGACAGTAAGCATACTCTGGCCAGATCTGAGTTCCACAGTTCTCTCCGTCAGAGCCCAGGACCGGGTTCAAGGCATACAGCACTTCGAGGGCAATACCGTTGTCGTTACCGATACTCCAGCAGGTATCGCCACTCTTAGTAACCATCCACCGCTTACAGTTTGCGGGGAAGCCTCCCTGAGTCTGCGTAGGGAGCGGGGCAACCACCGTGCTTGTTGCCGGCTGGCTTGTCGTGGGGGTGGCAGTGCCAACACAGTAGTAATATCCGGCCCAGATCTGAGTTCCGCAGTTCTCTCCGTTAGCGCCCAACACAGTATTCCATCCATACAGCTGTGACAGCTCAATTCCGGCACTGTTGGCAATCTCCCAACAGCTTGCTCCTGTCGCAAACTTGTTGCAATTAGGATCGATACCCGACTGTGTTTGTGTTGGCTTTGTAATCGGCGCTGTCGAACTTGGGCTCGTGCTAGGCTTCGTAGATGTAGGTGATGGCGACGTGCCATCACCACTCGTGGCAACGCAATAGTAGTAGCCGAGCCAGACTTGCGAAGCACATCGCTCGCCAGCACTACCGAGCACCGGATTCAGCTCCCACAATCTCTGTACGCTGATCTTGGCATCGTATGCAAGCTTCCAACATGCGGCCTGGGTGTCATTGGCCATGATCCAGCGGGTACAACCGGATGCTATACCCTCTTGTATGCTATCGGCAGGTATTTCTCCACCGTCTTCGATTATGGGAAGGGATGCCGTACTTCCTGGACCGCCGCGAATTGGTCCCTCGCCATCGTCGGGGATTTCTGAGGCTGGTGGACTGATCCAAGCACCGCCTGGAGGACTAAAGGTATACTTGTCAGCTTCTATTCAATGGATGGGAGACTACAGGGCTGACATACGTTAAGCAGATTGCCTGACCAACCAATAGGTGGTCACAAGCACCCATAATGTTGGGGTTCCAGCTTGCGAGCTGAGCGAGCGTGACTTCATTTGTCGTGTTCGAAAGACCTTGAGCAATTGACTCACTAATTCACAGTAGTGAGCAGCTGATACGAGAGAGTGTGTAGCAGAGATACTTACCACGTGTCGTTGGTCAAGACTCGGTACAATGTGCAAGCAAGAGGTATGCACACCTCTCCATCCGCATCGCAGAACTCATTCTTCGTTGCAACAGCCGCTTCCAGCGAGGCGATCTGGTACTTCTCCGCAATCTCATCACAATTGAGCTCCTCTTCACGATCGGGTCGTAGATCCACCATGCGGCCTCTGCATACTGTCGACGTGGGTGTGGGCGCGCTACTAGTAGTCGATACGGTAGTTGACGGGAGTGCCATCTCGGGCTCATCCGTCACGCGCGCATAGGCTGGGCCAATCCTGGTAACGAGCTCGCCAACAGTAGTCTTGCAAACGTCTTGAACATCTTGAAACTGTTCGACGAGATAGTCGCCAAACTCTGTGTCTTGCAGGTAATCCGATGTTACGCGGGCATGCAACATCTTGAGAAAGCACTCGGAGCACAACAAGTCGTCATCGTATAACGTTGACATTCGGCTCTGGTTTGCGCCAAAGTCGGCGCGATTGAGACACCATGGGTCATTGGGGTTTGCTTCGCAATCCATTTGGATCACATCTGAGCCAGTCCATTCGTAGGACTCGACTAGGCACCACTCATTAGACGATGAGCGCATACAAGCCATATCAAGTCCCTCCAAGATACGACCGCTCAGCGATTCGGCGGGCACGTATCGGTCGCCCGAGCGGTAATAGTCGTCAACGCAAGCTGTTGCGACATTCTGCCGCCAGTCTGCTGCATCGGACATACAGCTTGCGGTGCAAAGTGTGGTAACATCGGCTGGTTGCCAGTACACTTCGTCGACCTTGTGCGTCCATTGCATCAAGTCGTTATCGCATGGCAGCGTGGTGTTTCTGAAAGGAATCAGTTGATATTCATGAAGCATGCTTGGGAAGAGAAGACATACAAGGCGGATACACATCCGGAAGATATCCCTAGAATTTGCGACATGGTTTCTGCCGGAATAAGGGGATAGAGGTTAAAGGCTGAGGCGGAAGCCATCAAGCCTACGTTGATCAGCACGCGGCGAACAGGGTTGTGAGAAAACATTGTGGCCGCTGAATCTATCTGCAAAGAACTTCGACCTAAGTAGAGGACGAATTCGACCGTTTCTTAGAGCTGAGTATGCGGCGATGAGAGAGTGCTTGAATTGGGGATTGGTCGAGGTAGCATAACCAGCCTTCCGAGGTTTGGTCTCCGCGGATACCCCGGCCGAGCCATCAGAACGCCAGAAATAAGTCATTGCAGGGCGATAGGAGTGGACACTAGTATGCAATGCTCCGCCGGAGTTACAACTTTCTCTGATCTTCACTTTGGCTAATTAATCAATTAGCAGCCGTGCGGGAACTTGGAAGGTGGTCAGCTAGATCCTTGGCATCCTTCAGTACCTTGCATACATAGTGGATATGCGGCATGGAACCCGCTCGCACGCATCCTGGCGTCTATGTGCCGCCTGTCTTAGGCTGTCGCGCATTTAGGCGGTTGCGCGGTTATGCCCGTGGCGAGGCTGGCACGGATGTCCCGCTCGATTTTTGTCTAATCCATGTTCCGCCCAGTCTTATCGTCGGAAGACCCACGCCTCACGCTAGCATTGAGTATCAACTTGTGCACTAGCATGCCGGAGGTTGTTCTCTTTTGGAAGGAGCTTCAATCTAAGGATCCTCCGTCTGGATTTTCATCTACCGGACCGTACTCTAGCGTTAGGCGACATGGACGGTGGCGCAAGCCCAATACCTACAACGACATGTGCGAGTGTTGATCTACTTTGGCGAGAACAGTATCGATGCGATTATGGCGGGTCTACCCGGGACGCCGAAGCGTTTGGCAATACGGACCACATTCTCCTCTCATTCACATTTCCTAACGGCTTTCGCCATACTTCTTGAGCAGTGAGAAAACGCACCCCCAAGTTCCCCTTACATTCGGTCACTCAATATGCGGTCTGCACTTCTTCAGGGCTTAGTCCTCGGCCTTTGGCTCAAAATTAGCCTTGTGAGCGGTCAAAATGGCTCTGCTTTCCAGAACGAGACATTCGACGGCGAGGTGGAACAATCGTACTTCCTTGTCAATTCGGCATTTGGTATCTTGAGGAACGATATCCCAGCTCAGGCTCTGGATCTTCCTACCGGTACCTGCAACGATCAAACGCCATGTGTGAATGGTGCATGCTGTAGTAGTGTAAGTAGCTGGTATTGATCCAAGACCAAACACTGATATGAGATAGGTCTCCGGACTGTGCGGATACTCTCCTTCGGAGTGCGGAGCCGGAAACTGCTCCTCTAACTGCGATGCCAAAGCAGAGTGCGGCCAGTACGGCAAGCCTGGCAAGCAGCAGTGTCCGCTCGGAGTCTGTTGCTCCGAGTTTGGGTACGTGTGATTACCTCGACCGCTCCTTTCTCGCAGCTGACGTTGGCACGTAGGTTTTGCGGTTCGACATCCTTATTTTGCGACAAGGGATGCCAGAAGGACTTTGGAGGCTGCGGCGACGTCAAGCGACCATCTTGCAGCAAAGATGGTGGTAGCGTCGATGGCATAAACATTGGCTACTACGAATCGTGGGCCAACACTAGGGCATGCAGCAAGGTGTCTCCCGAAGACCTCAATCTTGATGGTTTTACGCACCTCAATTTTGCCTTTGTCTTCTTCCATCCCACCACTTTCGACATTGTTCCAATGGACAAGAACGCGGGCAAGCTGCTGAGTCGCTTCACCAAGTTGAAAGAGAAGAAGCCTGGACTTCAAACTTGGGTCAGCGTGGGTGGATGGTCCTTCAACGATCGTAAGTGATACTTGTTCGAACCCACTAGTATTTACTGACTTTAGTAATCTAGCCGGCCCATACCAACAGGCTTTCAGCAACATGGCCAGTACAGCAGCAAATCGCAAGACCTTCATCAACAAGCTCATCAAGTTTATGGACACATACGGATTCGATGGAGCTGACTTGGACTGGGAATACCCTACCGCTGGTGAGCCAAGATTTGCATCTCCGTCGCTTTCACCCAGTACTGACATTTGGAAGATGATCGCGGAGGCAAGGCCGGCGATTCAGCCAACTTCGTTCTGCTGTCGAAAGACATCAAGGATGCCTTTCGTGGAAAGTACGGCTATACCATAACGCTGCCGGCATCCTATTGGTACCTGCAACACTTCGACGTGTCCAAGCATCAAGAGTCTGTTGATTGGCTCAACGTGATGTCATATGACCTTCACGGTGTCTGGGACGCCGCATCGAAATACACTGGGCCCAAACTCGCAACTCACACCAACATCACTGAGATCAACATGGCCTTGGACCTCCTCTGGCGCGCGGGGGTCAAACCAAACAAAGTTGTCTTGGGAAAAGGCTGTAAGTTTGCTTTTGCTCACATTCTGCGTCTACATCATCTGACTTGTTGGACAGATTACGGCCGCTCGTTTACCCTCACCGATCCGAGCTGCAACAAGCCAGACGGCTCATGCACGTTCTCTGGAGGTGCCAAAGAGGGTCGGTGTTCGAAGGCTTCCGGCATTCTTACTCTACAAGAGATCCAAGAGCTCATCAAGGAGAAGAACCTCAAGCCGGTCCATGATCTGAAAGCCGGAGTCAAATGTACGAGGAAAGAGCAGAAAAAGCTCCACAAACGGTTCGCTAATCATCGCGACAGGGATACAATGGGACAATGATCAATGGGTTTCGTACGACGACCAAGATACTTTTAGGCAGAAGGCAGAATTCGCGAACTCGCGGTGCTTGCGTGAGGAGTGACAAAAACATGTGCAACTTCCATACTGACGATGCGTTTGCAGATGGACTCATGGTTTGGGCTATCGATCAAGTCGACCAGAACGACAAAAGCCTGAATTACCCCGACGAATGGACCGAAGACGACATTGCAGCAGCCGAGATTTTCATCCAAGACGAAGCCGCCCAGGGTGTTTGCTACACGACGCCATGCGGCGAGAAATGCGCGTCAGGAGAATACGAGGCTTCGCAAACGAACGGCCAACCCGGGACGCTTTCAACAATGGACCGTTGTGGCAAAGGACAGTTCCGTCGGCTGTGCTGCGCCAAAGGCACTAATATGGGCAAGTGCCGATGGCGCGGCTACCGTGGTCTTGGCCTGAGCTGCACCGGTGGCTGTGCCAAAGATGAAACGGAGATCACGCAGAACACCAATCACCACTCGAGCACCGAGGATCAGACATGCTCTGGAGGAACACAGAGTTACTGCTGTGCTGGCTTCAAGCCCCCTATTACTAAAGAGCAGGTCGAAGATGAGGTCAAGGACAAGGCCAAAGAGGCCGCTTTGGAAGCAGCCGAAGCGTTAGCCTTGGAGGTCGCTGCCACGGCCTTTTGCAGAATTGCCATCACGGCCGCCTTGACACCGCTTACCTTTATCCCCCTTATTGGTGAGTTGCTCCATTCTTTGACCTGAGCTGTTTTCTAACTTGAGTGATGCAGGATGGATCATACGACTCGCCGTCCAAGCCGCCGTTCCAGCTCTTGCTAAAGTTTGCGCCAAGGGCATTGCAAAAGCAGGCAAATCCGTCTTCAAGTTCCGCGGAAAGGATTACGATGTGAAGCTCGACAAACCGTTGACTTCCAAAAAGGACCGCGATCCACCCGCCACCTTCACGAAACCTGCGGCAAGGTGCTCCAAGGTCGACCCCAAGCTCGCGGAACGTGCCCGCCCATTAAGACCCTTAACAAAGATCAACAGAATACAGGGAGATCCTCATGAAGATATCAAGGTTAGGACTTGTATCTACAGTGAAGACAGCGGGGAGATTTCCATGGGCCAGGCTTGTCTGCACTACAGTTCTGTTATAAGCCGTCGACCTGCTCTCAGAAGATTGACGTGCGATGGTAAAGATGGCATTAACATTCGCGAGGTTAAAGATTCTTATTACACCCAACACAAGACCGAGTGGATCAAGGGTCACATGCAAGGTGACCCAAACCTGTCCTGCCAGCGGGACGAATTCCCACCCGCCGTGATTTGGCAAGCTCGCGATAGAAATGTGTGGATTCGCCTCATTCCCTCTGGGCAAAACGGCGACGCCGGGCACCTGTTCAGCCGTATCTGCGACGACAAAGTGGCTACTAAGACGGTAAAGAGCCTGGTTGAAAAAGTCAAGTGTGATAATGGCAAAGTCGTCGAGAAATGGGACCACACGGAGTACGCACAGCTCCAGATTTTCAGCCTGGAATTCTCAAACATGCCGAGAGATATTGTCGATCAAGGGATCACGGCCAATCCGTGCTGGCCCAAGGACCTCGTGGACGACCCGGGTTTCGCTCTCATGACCAACGATCCTTGGTACGATCGTGCAGCCAACCGTCCCCGCAAGAGACATACGGCAAACTACGGAAACCCAGACTATGCTGGCCTGGGTTACCCTCCGGGGCCCCCCGCCGTCAAGATGAAGCGAGGCCTCGGCTTCAGCCCCGAAGACCTCTACGTCGACGAAGGAAACTCGTCTCGCCTACCCACCGAAGAAGAGCTGCGCACCGAATTCGGTCTCGTGCGCTGTCAAGGCGAAGACTGCGAGCCCGAGATGAAGCAACTTGGTTTCGCCTCTCTGCCCATTATCCCAAACTCGTTTGTCTGGCCACCCAAGTCTCACGAGCCGAGTACTACGCTGGCGGCTACGCCAACAATCACCGTGGCTGCTACTGCGTCTGCGTATGCGCCGACGACTACGAGCACGGTTGTTCAGGCTGTTACGCAGGTTCTTTCTGCGGCGCGCGAGTTGATTACCGAGTCGGTAGAGTATGCGTTCTATGATGAGGAGGACTAGTAGGAGAGCTCTTAGAAGGGGTGCAAGAGCGTACTTAAGTGGGACAGAATGGTGGAGACGAATATTTGCGCTTCACAAGTCGCCGATAGGAATACATACGTATCCGGTGTTAGCTTCTCTTTCTTATAATATGTCAGTTCTCATGTTGAGTACATGCGGACTTCGGAACGTGTGAGTCGCTCGTGTGCGTTAGGTCACCGCTAAGCTCGAGTGCGTCATCAGTTCGCGCACGGAGGTAATGACCGAGAGCACGTTTGCGCTGAACATCAATATTGGCAGCAGTTCTATAGGCTACCTTTCCGGAAGACTCAGTGCGATATACGAGGACTACATCCCTTTGGCAGCCATGGTCGCGCATGGTGAACCGTACGCAGCCTTAGCAAAATAGACCAGTCTACTGCCAGACTGTAGTCATCGTCCGGTAGCAGGAGCCTGAACCAAATAACGATCCTCACCTTGACTCAATGCTACGCATTGTGAGTCACTGCGTGTCTGGCACTGATGTGTCTTGCTCGCTTAAAGTGCCACTTGGATATGTTGGATTATTCTTTGGTCTTGCGACTGGCTGTCTAAGAGGAATAAGGGTACTTACTACTGGTAGAGGTACAAGGTCATATGGTCAGGGTGAGTCTATCTGCTCATGTTTTGGATGCGCAAACACGGGACGCACGCGATACCATTTCTCTTCTACAATGTTCTTCAGATAGTATATAAACTCACATCTCCTGCCTCCTCCATCCTTCTATTCGATTACATCCACACATGTCCCAAAGCCCAAAGACATACTATTCCAAACTCTTCTTGCAACACGCAACCACATTCACAACATAAGCAAGCACAACCCAAAACCACAACATGTCTTGCCAACGCCTATCAACCGTCCACGGACTCGCACCCGAAAAGCTCATCAAACTCGCTTTCAAGTTCCTCCCCTACCGCACTCTCCAAGCCGTCTTCGCGACGCTTCACCCCGCTCAACATCGCATCTTGATGCAACAACGGCGCCGCGGCGTGAGTCTGCATCATCTAGCAGACACACTATACTACCACCAAGGCGCCACACTGTCGCGCCTGTCGCGCTGGAACGAAATGACGACGCTGCAAATGCAGCATGAACTCCTCAAACGAGAACACCTCGACGAGGGAGAGGAAAAGAGCTTGAGTGAATGGAAGCTGAGGATCAGATTGGTGTGCCTCATGGCTGAGGAGAGAAGGGCCTGGAAGGAGGGGAAGGAGCAGAGGAGGGTGGGAGAGGAGGAAGACAGGAAGGCATGGATCGCTCAGTGTAGGGCGTATGAGGAGGAGGATGAAGGTGAACTTATGGATATTGCTGTCGCCGCTTCGCAGGAGGGAGGTCAGGTGGTATGCTGAGATGGTGAAGGGTCGGGGGCTTGAAGGTGAACCGCTTGTTTTGGAGTTCGTGGGGGTCATTACAGGAAGCCCATTGGTGTTGGTTTAGTCGTGCCACAGTTTCGCCAACGAAGTCGTCTTCACTCAACCCACTTTCCCTTTTCCCGTGCTCCGAACATGGTACATTCACTTTCACTTCCAGAGACTTGGTACCACATCACCTGCACCCACTAACCTGAGTGAGAGCTCCCTAATGAATGCAGGCTCTTCCTTCTTCGCCGCGCGCTTGCCTCTTCTCTTCAACTGACCGCTGCTGAACCTCTTGGATTACTTTCAACAATCCAGTCGCCGTAACAACGAACACTCCACCTTCCCAGCTAACCTTTCACACTAGCAAGATGTTTACATCACTCATCGCAGAGATCAACGGCGTGGAACCCTCCACCAAGAAGAATACACCCCAGATCAAGTCAGCGATTGCGCGAAAGCGTACCGTCGCGGAGGCTACATCAACTTCTGCAACACCACTCCAACAGCGCGCAGTCCCTCGTCACCCGCAACAGCGTCAAGCAATCGATCGGTACATGGCTGTTGCGCACAACCCATGGAGGGAGCCAAAGCGCCTAACAAAATCCTCATACGAGGTAATGAAGCACCAAGAGCTTCTCGAGGAAGCGCAGATTCGAGGGCTTGAAATCGACAACGGGGATAAGACATACCTCGTAAACATCTTGATCATCGACGACGAGGCCTACGCCAAGCTGATGGAGGTACTTGGTTGCCGCTTCAGAGCCGCCGACTTTGCACAGGGGGAAGTGAAGCTTTATAACCAGGAACTGAAGCGTAAGCGAGCTGAAGCAGAGGCAGAGGCGAAGCAGCAACAAGCGATCTGTGAGATGCATAAGAATGCGAAACGAGATGCGCGCGTCAAGGCCGAGAAGCTGGTATGGGAGAAGAAGCAGGCTGAGAGCAAGGCTACTAAAGCCAAAGAGCAAGAGCAGCGGAAGCGAAAGAGAAGCGGCAACGTCGATTCTGGTTGCTCTTCTGCCCTCAAGAAGGCTAAATCCAAGCATGCACCGGCGGCCGCTTCCCGCTCGAGAAAGATTGGCACCAACAAGGCACTATCAGGCGACAGAAGATCTGTCAAGACGAGTGTTGCCAACGACATGAAGGATGCGCACGACGACGAGGAGGATGAAGATGGACTTGGCGACTTCATTGTCGATGACCTGCCGCAGAAGCCGAAGCGCAAGAGCGATGTAGGCGGCATGGCAAGGAGCAGGTTGATTGCTGGGTTTTGATGGATGGCATATCTTCCTTTTTCTTGCTGTCGTTGTTGTTCTCCTTCTAGTACGAGACAACAATGTATCGTGGTTCCTTATGTATAGGATTGTTGCGGGGAAACCTTCATGTTGTAGTACTATTGCGCCGTCGCAGTATCCGTTAGCGCAGGATTGAGTCGGCCCCAGCGCTTACGGGCACTGCTCTCCGCCGGCGCAGCGCAGTTAATTGCAAACTGTTAACTTCATCGCGACATGGATTTACTGCCACACAATGTTCGTTTAGACGGGTAAGGCATGCCGAGCTCTGTCGATCGGGTTGGTTTTAACCACACTCTTGGCTAGTGCGTCATTCCCATAGGGTGCCTAACCGCGCCACGTACATATAGATGCATTCTCGCAAGTCCAAACGATCAAACGTCTACGGCTTTACCCTTATGCTACGTCAATATGTGGACATATGACAATCCAAAGTTGCTGCTCCTTACGATATCAGGACTCCTCACCACAGCGGTCGTCAATGCGCAAAACTCCTCCTGTCGAGGCTTTTTCGACGAATTCACGGCCGTGAACTCAACCGGCCAGCACGAATTTACTTGGAACTCCTCCTACGCCGGCGACGACCCGTGGTATGTCTCTGTCATCGTCGGATCTCGCTATGACGATGTCAGAGGACATGTTTACATCTCCGTACCTGGAAACGTGCCCAACAATACCGAGCTCTGCAAGTATCAGTACAGCAACATCAATGCGACGTTAGAAGCCGGAGGGGAGAATAGCTGTAGCGGTGTGATCAGCTCGAACTGCATGGACCACCTGACCGAGGCACTAAGTGATACCTCGTATGGCTGTCCTAGTAACGATTGGTCGTCCGTATCAGATGAGTTCAAGAAGGCGTGCCCAATGTTGCTTGGCGGTTCACACAGTACGTTCCTTCCGTTGTCACTGTACAAGCATTACATGACTTGCGACTCGGGACCTGCAGCCTTTGTACCTATAGCTGACATGTTAGCAAAGACACGGTCCGTCAAGACGTGACCAACGGCACGTGCGCCTACAACAACATGCCCGAGGAGGTGCAAATTCCAGACAATTACAACACGTTCGGGACAAACGCAGGCGTCAGCCCGTCCGATAACTTCTATGCCCCTGCGAATGAGACGTATGATCTCTTGACGCGCCAGACGATTCCAGTCGTCCTACTGGGACGATTTGTTGACCCATATTCGAATCTGGTGCAGACCAGCGTCGAGTTCGTGTGTATGAATGCGAACAACACAGTGGAGGGAAGCCGTGTAGCGGACGAACAGACGCCGTGGGATAGTGCTGGGGCTGATATCAGTGCTAGGATGGTGGGATGGGCGGCCGGTGTGATGACGGCGGTGATGCTGGTGTTGTAAGACTGCGGTACATCGTGATGGTCTATTATGGATGTAATCGATGGTGGTAGAGCAGAGGGTCCATCTGCGTAGCCCGAATGATACGTGTATTGACTATCGGGGATGGAAGCAGGTGTAGACTCACTGCTGGGGGTTGAAGGTGGGAGGGGATGGCACGCAGCTAGTGGCTTCGTTCGGAGATTGGCAAAACTTTGGCGCTAATTCCTGAGACGCGTGCATCGCGTCACCTTCATTCAATCGAACGTACTACTCCTTCGCATCTCTCCCTCTATAACATACTATTATTATCGCCTTGTCTTTATCGCAAATTTTACGCGCATGTACGATGTTGCATTGATTTAAGCGATGATCGCAACCGTTGCGCGTTCGCGCAGCGCGTTCTTACCTAGCCTCGCCATGTGAAATATATCGGTACCGCTTTCAATGCATGGCGAATTGCTGCGCTACCGATGTTTCGCGCGGCATGCTCGTCTTTGCGAGCTGTGCGGGTTTGAAAGACCTGTTGACATTCCTTGGTAGCGAGAGGAAGCCACCCGCACCGTACGCTGATGACACAGTCACGGCGTGCTGAAATTTCCTTCCTGGCCTCCAGTTTCTCATTCCTGTGCCGACCTGCTTTCGACACTTCGTCCGAAAATTCACAGAAGTCGAAAGCATAGCTCATCACCTACACATTACCACCGTCAAGATGGCGTCAACGCTTACCGCTACTCAACAAGCCCTGGGCATCGCGGAACTTCTCGAGAATATTTTGCAACACCTCAGCCCGACAGATGCTTTGTCGAAGAAACAGATGGTGTCTCGTACCTTCTACAACTGTATCAACAGATCGGCCGCTCTCAGACAGATCTTCTTGCTTGACGCCAACCGAGTCGAAGAAGATGAAGCCGATAGCAAGCTCTACTTCCCCTTAAGCAATATCTTTCCCGCGTATGGATCTCATGAGGGGCGCGGAGGAGTCCTTATTCCTGGATACAAATACCGACCTTTTATTTTTCTGAATCTCGCAGACATCAGATGTTTTGTTCCTGCGGAGACCTACTACATAGATCAAGCTGCGGTCAGCAGAGCTTTGATTCCATCAGGCAAAGATCGGCTCCCAAGGTTAAAACACGGAAGCCGAAGTTGGGACTGGGAAGCGCCTATCACCCAAGTCCGTTCATCAGCCATACACCCATTCATCGCCCGCAATCTTTGGATTTCAGATGGTTTCTTTTGGACTGGCTTTGGCTCCCATGCAATAGTCTTCATGGAGGACCCCTTACCCATTTCGAAATTGGGCCTCTCTTCTACCCTAGTCTCGCGAGTGATCGAGGAGATATTGTCCCAGGTACAGAGAAGCCCTACCGCTAGTTGGATCAAATCTACGCTCTCGAATCCCACTTTCACCACCGTCAGCTTGGTTATGCACGGGGAGATCTCAAACTGCTCTACCCGGGTACACTTTGTTCATCGCTTCAAATACTTCCGTCGCGCTACTGGTATACTCGTTGGAGATCTTGTGATACTTCTCGCCAAGTACTTCGTCGAGCGGCTCGAAGGTGCTGGGGGTTCTAACGCGCTCTACGTCCCCCAACAAGATCTCGCCGCGGCTAACGAGCTCACGAGACTACTGGACCCAGTCGGTCACTTCTACTTGAGCCAAGCCTGAGCCAAGTCTGGATTAGTACAAGCAGTCTCACTGTACGCGTGGTTTGTCTCGCGCGCTGTCTTTCACTTTGCTGGCTCGTGCTCAGGCTTGGCAACCCACATAAACGATTGCGTCGCACGGCCAAATGACTTGCCTCTCAAAATACAACCTCTACGCGCCTGATTGAACGTTCGCTTTCGACCATCGGTAGGCTCACAACGATCGATATGGACGACATAAACTCTCCTCCACTCGTACACGGCGATCCCGCCCGCGTCTTGGGCGTCACCGAACTCCTCGAGAATGTGCTCTGCAACCTGAGCCCCGGCGGTATCCTCAGGAACGCCCAAGCGGTCTCAAAGTTCTGGCGAGACTGTGTGCAGGGATCAACCGCAATCAAGAAGAAGTGCTTCTTGATCGCCGACAACATGAGCGAAGAGAAGACAGACCGTCGACTGTTTCTGGGGGCGGGCCTTCCTGACTTGGGCAAACCTCTAGTTGCAGACTGGAGTCAATCGCGACATACTAGGAGTATTAGCCACATGACAGTGGTGACACCGGCTACTCTTCGCGCCTTCTTCGCAGACAACCCGATGTCTCGTCGCGGTCAATACAAACAGGCTATCCAAGATTACTTCGAGAGGCTGGACAGCGACAAAGAGTTGATGCGCTTGACGACTAACATGGGCCGTGAAGAGCGCATGTACGATGGCAGCGATTACGACTCGCGTCCTTACGAGTCCCTACTCGATATGTCACATGCAAATCCGCTACTTCGCCGATCCTGGAAAGGAAAAGGCTCAGTTGTCTTCACCGGCTACGGAAAACACCTCATCTTCGCTCTTGGCGACAACTACTCTGAGGCCTGCGACTACTTCACACATATCCGAACATTCCTCGAGACTGTCATCCATGCTAGGAGCGCCGACCAGTCGAAAGAAACCTGGAATACTGTTCAAATTTGTTCACCTGCCGTCACCAAGCTCACTATTGCCATCTGGTTACCTGGAGGCCCGGACATGGCTCAAAGCTTCCTCAATTCGTCCGGTGTCACAATGCTCGACTTCGCACATATGTTCATCATAGCGGTGCGAATAGCTTTACAAAGCTACGAATCAGTTGATGTGGAGCACTGGCTTGGCAACATCCATCGACACAAGCGAGGTGGCGCAACTTGGAAGAGGTCGATGCGCTTATACAAGAAGGAGAGGGACCTCATCGAGAAGTTGGTGGATCAATTGGAGAAAGGCAGATGGTATCCCTGATTGCCATGGTTCTCGTCTGCTAAGTCAGTTCTCCAAAGTCACGATGTCTAGGTCTCAAAGACTTCCTGTTACATGGCCTGTGGTATTTGGGCAAGACTGATATGAGCATGCACGTCATTGTAGATAGTCAAGTGTCTAAAAGCATGTATACCTAATAAGACATTTCATGTCACAACGATCTCCGTGTGCCTGTTGCTGATAGTCGTGTGGTGCGTTCCAGCTTTCCTCGGTTTCGTATCGTGTCTACGTGAATGACAGCCCATGTACAACATCTGGCAAGCTATCAACCCCATGTACCCTATGCATCAACCCTACATAGTCGTCCCTGCTGAGTAGGGAGTCCTCCCGTCCCTTCAACGAACCAACTCTCGCTACCCACACCCGTAACCGCATAGAACAACCCCCAAGGATCTCTTCCCTTCTTGATCTTCAGAAGCCTATCGTAGTTATCACCATACATGCTATACTGAAAGTTCGGCTCCGCAACATCCGCCTCATTCATATACGCACCACTAAGTGGCGTCGCATCTCTCAGCTTCTGTATATACGAGTTGAGGCGTGCATGCGATGAATTCCAGAGCTCGTCAGAGAGGGTAGCATCGTACTGCCGACTATCGAAGCCGGTCATGTGCATGACTGCGTTGCGGAGATGCGGCGAGACAGCAGAGTCGGAGCCGGGATAGGCGGCTGTTTCGTATGTCGGTGCGTAGTCGACGGAGTGGAAGCTGTAGCCGCCTTCTTCCACGAATGAGCGGATCGCTGCCATGGTGGTATTGAAAGTCTGGGAGGCTGGGTCTGCAAAGTTGGATCGGGGAACAAGCCGGCTCACAAGACGGCTGTTACTAGTACCACCGCTTGGGCCGCCGGGCAGGGTACCGAACTTTGCATATGTGCTCCAGAATTGCGGCTCGGGGTTAACTAGTGGAATTCCAATATTGTTGAGATCTTTGATGAGCGGCGCCATGAGCTCTCTCATTTCTTCGACGGTGACGCCCGGCTTGGTAATTTGGTTGGAAAGAGTGAAGGTGCGAGCGGTTGTCGTGATGTAATTTGACATGATACCTTTGGCATCATTGATGCGTAGATTATGCGAGAAATAGACCTTCATACCTTTCCAAAAGGTTTCATTGGATACGCGAACGGTGGTCTTGTCGATGTTGGACACGGGGCCGGTCTGGAACGTGAAGTCGCTTCGTGCGACTGTCGTAGGCGGATACGCTTTTACAATCGCAGATGTAACGATGCCGAAGTTTCCTTAAATATAGGTCAGTATCGGAGATAGTTGTGGAAGTACGTTAAAAGCTTACCAGGCCCGCCACCCCTAATCGCGAAGAACAGGTCCGCATTCTCCATTGGATCTGCATGCACAAACCTGCCGTCCGCGGTAACAAGCTCTAAAGCAAGTACCTGGTCTGCCATCAGGCCATACTTTGAAGTGATGTACGAAAATCCTCCGCCTTGCATGTAACCGCCATAAGCTCCAACAGTCGAAGACCCGGGTGCTAAAAGAGTGATACCATGTGTACTCATGGCGTCATAAACTTCATGTTGTTCGAGCGCTGCTCCAACTCGGGCTGCTTGACCATCGTACTGACCAACTTCGTAAGTCGGTAAGTACTCGAATGCTTTCATGCGATGCACCCACACTTGAAGTGCGCCACCGCCGGTGTTTCGGCCGAGGAAGTCATGGCCGGTATTTCTACTATAGTCAGTTTGGAGCTGGTATCTTTCCTGAGGACGTACTTGATCGTCAACCGGATATTGTTGTTCCTGGCAAAATTGACTGCGAGCTGCACGTCTTGTACTGTAGTAGCATTGACGACAAATGCAGGAAAGCTGACGAGTTTGCAGCCAGACAGCGGAGGTGTGGCGCTAGCTGCAGGTACGGGGCATGGATTATGTAAAGTCCACTGCCCAAACGGTACCAGTGGGTCTTCCTTGCTAGATGAAATAAGTTAGCTTTCGACCGAGGGTAAGGCTTGCAAGTACATACGCGAAGAGAGCATCGCTTTGACGTCGCCTGACGTTTGAACACTTTGCAGTATCCTTGTACTCGCCCTCATAGCAGGCAGCAGCGGATGGAATACCCTTGAGCAACGTTCCTCCGAGACTCATGTTCAAGGCACTCCACTGCGTCGATGATGGCCAGCCTTCATAGCCTGGGTAGCTCTTGCACGAAGGTATATCGCCCGTGCTTGCGTTACCAAAAGCTAAATCAGGGTTATTCCCAACGTCCAAGTCGGTCAGTTGTATACTTTCGTATGCGAAGTTGTACGCAAAAGCAGCTTGCGCCACAAGAAGGACTGAAAGAAGTGAGAGCCCGGAGACCATTTTGGAAAGCGCAAATTCAGAATCGCGATTAACAATGCTAGAGATTTTACAGGACGAAGCTTACCCTCTTGGAGGCTGCCATCATGAGGCCTTATACAGGCTTTCGGTAACTGTACTGGCAACACCTCTCTCCTCTACTGTTCGTGGTATGCCCCACAAACATAAAAGCTGTCGATGGCCAGAGTCTTGGGGTAGTACAAAGACTGTAAAACCCATATCTTGACTCGTACTGTCCTGTATGATGCGGCCTAGTTTTCTTCTTGGCTATCCGATACGGCCCGGACCAGGCGTGTTTCCACATCGGACGCGCAGTCAGCATGCAGCCATGGTGCTTACCCGGTCTGATTCTGCTGTACAACGCTGGTGATCAATACGTCGCGCATATCGTGAAATGAGAGAGGCGTTTGTGGCGTCCGTAATCATACAGTGGTCCCGGCTTCTTGGTAAACAGTCGATGTTGATGGCTGCGAGGCTGCATGTTAAGTTTTCCCGTTGGTCGTAACAAGCGAATCACGTTGAACTGCGTCCGCATACTGGCGATAAGAGCTTTTGAATGCACATAAGCTGACTTGGTTGTCTCCCCACACACGGCGCGTAGCTTAGCCTCCTTGGACACATGATGCAAATGGGTGTGGGGAAGGAAGCATGGACGATGGCAAGATGATGCATAGCGATGCAGCACCCACAATTTGAGGAAAATCGTGATGGCTGTGATGCGAAGACGAGAGAGCCCACCTGGGCATTGAGGTGTGGGAGACTTCTTGCGATTGCCCCTTGATAAAGACGCTAGCCCACTTGGGCATTGACTAAGCGCCATTGTTCCGCTTCTCGGAAGGTTCCGAGATTCCCGTCAGCCACCATCACAGCGTCTCCGCAACTCGCCAATCATCACAAAGGCTGTCGTCATAATTGAACTCCGACTACAGCTTGTTGATCAGATCTCTCGCTGTCTGATGAAGCATTTTACATGGTCTGCGAGCACCCCCAAAGCTCGCTGTTCGTTCTGAAAGCACTATTCAGTCCTTGCCCGCTCTATTCTCGAGCTCGGTAGCGTCTTCCATGTACTTCACCGAGTGCTTTCGCTGTTCCTCCTTCATGCCCGCCTCGACATCTTGGCGACGCTGCTCAGCTGACACATCACCGAACAGAATATCAATCTCCTCCAGCGTCTTTCCTTTTGTCTCTTTGATGAAAAATGTAGCAAAGATGCCCATGGAGAGACAAAAGATGCCGAACATGAGGAATGTTTTCCACCTGCAAAGGACGAGGTCAGTGTATATCTTGTATGCAGGTTGTAGAGTCATGGTCTTACCCGATGGAGTTGATTGCCGCAGGTGTAATCTTCGTAATAACGAAATTGAAGAGCCATTGCGTGGCTGCTCCCATTCCCACACCGTACGAACGAAGTCGCGTTGGGAAGATCTCCCCAAGGTAAACCCACGGGACGGGTCCCCAAGAAGCTGAGTATCCGATGACATAAAGGTAAATCATGGCGACCATAGCGATAGAGGCGGACGAGACTGATCCAGAATCTGGGTTTGGTGGGTTTGTAGCAAGAACAGCGCCGATGATGAACATCATGGACGCCATCCATGCTGCGCCAGCCATGAGCGAGTACTTCCGACCAATGAAGTCGATACCGACGATCAAGAAGATTCCAGTCGTAATGACTTTGACTGTGCCATAGATGCCCGTTGCGAACAGCGAAGCGTTAGCTGCTGATACACCAATGGTCTGGAAGATTTGAGGAGCGTAGTAGCCTGAAGGATGGTCAGATGGCGAAGTTCAGCTTTGAAGATCTTCATCTTACCGATCGAGTTTGTTCCGCTGAACTGCTGCCAGAACATGAGCACAAAACCAGTGATAAATCGGTATCGGTTGCCGGGAAGGAGAACCTCCTTCCATGTTATGCCCTCAGTCTGGTTCAACTCCTCCTCGACTGCAGCGCGAATCTCAGCTAGCTCCTTTTGGAGCTCAGCGCTATCGGGTTGCTCGCAGCGAATGAACGCAAGCGATTGCGCAGCTTCCTCTTGTCGACCCTTTGACATCAACCACCGTGGAGACTCCTTGAGGAAGAAAAGTCCGATCAACATGAAACCACCTGGGATGAGTTGAATCGATACGGGCACTCTCCATTGCTTCGTTGACGTGGGCATGTGGAGCGCAACACCGTAATCCAGCCAGTAAGCGAAGGTACTACCGATGACTAGAAATTCCTGGAAAAGACCAGCGATACGTCCCCGAAGAGCTGGGGGCGCATTTTCCGAGACGAATACCGGGGCGATAGATGACATGCCTCCAATGCCGAGCCCTGCGATGACGCGACCTGCGTAGATGACGCCAATCTCATGATGAGCGGCAGTCTGGATTGCGGCACCGATTAGGAAGACGAGGGAGAAGCCCATAAGAGACAATCGTCGACCGAACCGTTCGTTGATCCAAGCGGCCCCGATGGCGCCGAAAAAGCAACCTGCAGTAAGAAGCGATACGACATTCGACGATACCGATGCATTTTTCGAGTCGGAGAATCCAGACGAGTCTGTTGGCAAGCCGAAGTCCTGTTTGAAAGCTTTGAGCGCGAGCACGCTGCCCATTACTCCGGTGTCATAACCTTCCATAGTGTTAGCTCTTGCTCAGGAATGGAGACAGCGGGCGCCTACCGAACAGCAGCGAGCCCATGTAGGCAACACTGGTCAGTAGATAGACCCTGCGGTTCTTGAAGAATTTGGACGGCATCTTGGTTATGTCGTCGCAGCTTTCTGGGTTGACTTGTCTGCGTGCAAAGAGAGCGAGGTAGGCTTTTCAATAAATACCTAGGTCAAAACACCAGACGCCGAGGGTGGCACCACCGGCAGTGCTGTCCCCGAGTATTGCGTCGTTATCATGTGGAGGAACCTGTCCGACCCCAGACTCCACCTTTGGCCTCCGCAGACCCATTTATCTGTTCTTCCACCAGTCATTTGTTCGTCTCTTGGATCGTTCAGGCCTATTGTCCGACTCGGTTGCTACATACTCGTGGAACAGAGCCGTTGCGACCTTTGCGAGCATTCTTAATGTTGTTTTCGTTGCGCGACGCTACAGCATGCGGCTCAAAATTTGTGAAGATAAGCCTCCCAAGCCATGTATACGAGACCGCCCGAATGCTTGGTGCTGCATGTGTTGAGCCTAGCGCTTTCATCTGAATGGCGGTATTTCTCAAGCGTCGGCGGAATAATGAGCTCCACTTGAATCTCGAACGCTAAGCTTGCCAGCGATCATAGCGCCTGCGTCCGAAGACCCTTCTCCATGGACGCATTGACATGTCAGCAAGACACCCTCGAAGACTTGGAAGACATCAGGATGCGAAGGCATCTTAGTCGTGCGGGAGTATAGCCAATATCCGTCACATCCGGTCCGCTGCGCATTGGCAATCCGCCACAGACGTGACTGCAACGTCAACATGACGGGCTTCAACAGCACGGCAGCGTTCTGGACGAAGAGCACTGGACATACTCAACTATAATCCTATGGCCAGCCTGTCCTGATACCATCTTTCAGGTGTTCCCACGATATGCACACATGCTGAGGCCTTGTCGGTTTGACCCAGCCTAAAGGGCGACGTTCATTCTGTTCGTGTCCGCAACAACGACCGTCGTTGGATGCTCGAGTGAGATGCATAATATTGCGCGCGCGCTTCAGGATGCCTCATATTGGAAGTGTAATGTTGCGTTATGAGGCTTGGCTTTGGTGAAGTACAGGTCGCTGGCGTTGGACGAGCGTGGTGAGCATAACATGAATGCTAGGCGTGGCAGGCATGGGCGTCATGGGGGACATTGGGCCAACCCGGACATTGGCGACCTTGGCGGCATTGAGTGCCGCCATCTACACCCAAGCAAAACCTTCCTATTTAGGCAGTGGGACTCACCATCATCATTTAGCCTCAATCCATCGTGGATGGATTAACATGTATCCAAAAGGAACCTAAAAGCCGAGAGAAGGCTTTCTGGAAGGTACCAGCAGCAGATTGTGCATTGGAGGAACCCGTACTGGTCTTCTCGGTCTTTTCGGCCATCTCGCTGCTGCCTACGGACATCTCCACGCTACCAACCTGAATGTCGCACATATCGGTCAACAAAAAGCTCTTGAGCGGAAGACGGAATGTACGACCGAGGAAACCGAGATAGTCGTGCGAGCAGAGATGGAGCATAAAGATCGAAGCCTACGATAATGGATGTGAATCAACTCAGCGATTGCAACGCCTCTGATTTCCAGCATAAACCCTAGTGTACAGCGTTAAGCCCATAGTCATGGAAGCAGCAGCAGAACAAATCCGCCAGGCATACGCCAAGGGCAATGCCCGAGAAAGGCAACAAATCCAGGAACAGATCCGAGACCTACAGAAGGATCTCTACAGCGACTGGGAGATGATGTTCAGCCTAGCTATGGCAGTAAGTCCCCTCCATTCATTACATACGATATGCGTTTACTAACTCATCCCCAGCCTCTTCAATGGGCTCTCATCGACGTCGGTATCGATCTCAACATCTTTACCACGCTCGCCTCATCGACAACAGCAGTAACACACGATGAGTTCCAGCAGAAGACCGGCGCTGCGCCGAATCTACTCGCGCACTTGCTTCGGTCCATGGCATCGTTTGGACTCATCGCAGAAGTTGAGAAGGATACATTCGCAGCAAATCGTGCGACACGCGTCTTTGCCAATCCGCACGTCAACGGCGCCGCGCCGCATCTGTCGAAACTCCATCTGCCGGTTATGCAAGCACTGCCTGGCTATTTGAAAGAGCATAAGTACCGGGATATCACCGATTCCAAAGACCTGCCTTTCCATGCGGCCATGAAGACTGAGCTTACACCGTTCGAGTGGATGAAGCAGGATGGCGAGCAGATGAAAGCACTCGGTCATATCATGGTGCTCGACTCTGTCGATAGCTGGGTGTCTTCATATCCTGCTCAAGACGTTGTCGGCGACTTCCAGCCCGCGGACGACTCTGCGCTTTTGGTCGACATCGGCGGAGGCTTTGGTCAACACTCCGTCGCATTCAAGAAAAAGTTTCCCGAACTACGCGGCCGCATCGTCGTTCAGGATGTGCCTTCGACACTTGCGCATGCGCCTCACGTGGATGGTATCGAGTTCCAAACCCATGATTTCTTCACCTCGCAACCTATCCGCGAAGCAAAGTTCTACTTTCTCAGACATATCATGCATGATTGGACGGATGAAGACTGCATTCGCATCCTCTCAAACATCGTTCCTGTCATGGGTCCGGAATCGCGCATCTTGATCGATGAGGTGGTGCTACCGGAGACGAAGGTGCCTTGGCAGGTCGCTATGATGGATCTTGCGATGATGGCGTCGCTGGGCGGCATCGAGCGGAGCAGGGAGGACTGGACGAAGTTGTTGGAGAGCGCAGGACTGAAGATCGCGGATGTGCATTGCTATGACGAGGTGAGGTATCATTCTGTCATTACGGCTGTGCCGAAGTGAAGCGCAGGCTTGAAAGTAGCAAAGCGGAACTTTGTAGTAGCATTGTAGAACAATGGGATGCACTCAACTCAGTCATTGCAAGATTGCAGGTGGCTTAGTAATGCACCAGCCACCAACTCCGCGGCCTTGTGCCGGCATCGCAAGTGCAACCATCACGAAAATCACGATTTCGACCAACCCAGCCCACACCGCGCCCTGACAAACTTCACACGTCTTCCGCCCTTCTCTCCACCATGGCGATCTCGGAGTACGAGCAAGTGCATCTAGGAATAATCGGAGTATGCCAAAAAGCTCCGAAGATGCTAATCAACGGTTGAAGGCGGGGCAGGCCCAGACACGCCGCTCCACTAACCGTCGCTCCGCCGATAGGGTAGGGCGCATCGAGCGTTAACACGCCCTATGCGTCTGGTCGCTGTCATAGATGCGTTTTTTGCGCCAAGCTACTCTGCTAGATGAGGAATGCGAATCCGGGTGTTCTTCGTTGTCGTATAAGGCACGGTAGGCTCGTGTGGTCGACGACCAAACTTCTGGACGACGGATAAGACGTCTTTCTGGTCCACGCTACGAGCGCTTGACGCAATCTGCTGTTGTTTATCTTTCGAACGACAATAAAAGGGTAGAAGAAGGGGTTTTTGCTCAAGATGGATCCAATCGCCAACCCTGTTGTCCAGATGCAGGACATTCCGACTACGAGCGACGGAAGACCTTATGCTTATGAGGAGCCTGATGAGATTTGGGATGGATTGAGAAGGACGGTGTCGAAGATGACGGGGCGATCGAAGGCGGGAAGCGAAGCGAAACAGTCTGCGCATCACGAGATGGAAGTCAGATCGCATGGGCGCACACGGTCGCATCGGACGCAGCCTATCGACGAACTTGATGAAGAGCCTGGGATACCTGTTGTTGACGCTGAAGACGATTTCCCCGAGGGTGGGCTACGCGCGTGGCTTGTTGTTGCATCTGCCTGGCTGATGCTATTCCCTTCTTTCGGCTTCATGGTGTCTATCGGCACACTTCAGGACTACTGGGGCCAGAACCAACTTTCGTATATGTCGGCACGTGATATCGGATGGATCCCATCGGTCTTTGTCTACCTTTCACTTGCGCTGGGTATATGGGTTGGACCGCTCTTCGACCGGTATGGACCGCGATGGATCGCTTTGACAGGGAGTGTCATGTTTCTCCTGATGATCTTCCTGCTTGCTGAATGCGATAAGTTCTGGCAGATGATTCTCTGCTGTGGCGTACTGGGAGGATTTTCCGGCGCCATGCTTACGACTACGAGTCTCGCGGTAGTTGCGCATTGGTTCAAGGAGCGACGAGGTCTTACGCAAGGCATCGCTATGATGGGTAGCTCTGCTGGTGGTCTGACGATTCCGTTGGTCTTGCGGACTACTCTCCCAAAGTATGGCTACTCGTGGTCGCTTCGCATACTGGGCTTCGTCTTCCTCTTTTGCTTCATCATCGCCAACATTCTGATGAAAGCTCGCATCCCGCCGTCTGCCGCTGCGAAAAAGAAAGCCATCATCTCACTATCCATCTACGGTGATCTGAGATTGAGCTTGTTCACGCTGAGTGTCTTCGGTTTCGAGGTCGTTCTCTTCGGTGGACTGGGCATCATGCCTACCTACGCAACGCTGAGTACGAACTTCCCGCCTGACACTGGCTTCTACCTCATCGCGGTACTCAACGGTGTCTCCTGCCTCGGCCGATTGCTACCTGGGTATGCCGCGGATAAGATTGGTCGATTCAACACTCTGTTCATCATGATCGTCTTCACCTTGCTCTGGATGCTAGCCCTATGGTTGCCTCTCGGTACAACATCGCTTCCAGCACTATACGCTTTCGCAGCGCTCTTCGGCTTCGGAACAGGTTCTTGGATGGCGTTGACACCCGCATGCGTAGGACAGCTATGCAGGGCAGAGGAATTTGGCCGATACTATGGAAGCATGTACTTCATTGCGTCCCTCGCAACGCTGGTCTGCATTCCAATCAGTGGAGAGCTTGTTGAAACAGTTGGACCCCAGCCAATGGTAGCCTTCTTCTGCGCGATTCTCGGTTTGAGTCTGATCAGCTTCTTGTTCAGTCGATGGGCATGTTTGGGAAGGCGTTGGACGCTGAAAGTAAAGGTCTGAGCGATTTGATAGATGAATTCGTCATGCTGGGAAACAAGCACGCTATGATGCTACCCACAATTCTGTTGTTGAGCGGACCGAACTAGCGTAAAACAGCACTGGTAGTGCGAACATCAAGAAAACTTCATCGCGCTAAGATCGGCCCCTTCCGAAAAATTCACGATTTAGTGGAAACTAGTCCAAGTAACAAATCACATGGCTACGCTTTCCACCTGTCAAGAAAAGGTCTACAACTGAGTAAGTCTATCGATAAAGCGTGATAGACGTCTAGCCGCTTCAACGCTGCGGCGAGGGTCAAACCTCCAAAACCACGCACCATGATGGGTACCTAGGAATTCGTATAGTAGTTCCCAACTGCATTCCGCGCCACCACATGGTGGTCCAGGCTCGCAACAGATTTACATGACGTGCTTTGATAGCGCCGAAAGAAATTTGCGGAACGAACGCGAAGAAGAGTAAAGTATAGTACATAGCACCAGAACAACTTCATAGTGCGGTCCCTGTCATTACCTGGGTACACATCCCCGCCACACTACCGCCTGTGCGTTCTCCAACAATACCCCAGAGCCTTGTCTCCGCGGTCACATCGTAGTCGACAATGTTGGACCAAATTCGCCAGCACGACATCGAAAGCTCACCACACATCGACCACCATGGCTCCGACGACGGCAAACCGATTCTTGAACCGCAACTCAATGTTGGTGGGCATGGTGCTACGCAGCGGCGGCTTAAGAACTATCATGTTACGATGATAGGGTTTTGTTCCGGGATAGGCACTGGTCTTTTCATCGGAACGGGATCTGCGTATGCGAGTGCTGGGCCTGCGGGTCTGTTGCTTGCGTATTTGGTTGTGGGGAGCGTACTTTGGTGTGTTATGCAGAGTATTGCGGAGTTGGCTACTGTGGTTTGTACTCTTTGGTGTTGAGTCCCAAGGGGCAACTGCTTACCGTGATGCAGATTCCCACTGCTGGCTCGTTTCCTCATTTTGCGAGTCGCTTCATTGATCCGGCGGTTGGATTCTCGCTCGCTATAAGCTATGGGTATTGTTATACCATATCCATTGCTGCCGAGTGCTCGGCATCCGCTATTCTTGTCGGATACTGGACTGATATGTCGCCTGCTGTTGTCATTTCCATCAGTCTGATTCTTATCCTGGCTACCAACTTGCTTAGCGTCCGCTGGTTCGGCGAGTCCGAAGTCGTCGCTGGTGCAATCAAGATTGCATGCTTCCTTGGTCTCATTCTGGTTTCCATCGTCATTACCTCCGGAGGAGCGCCAAACGGTGAAACAATTGGCTTCCGCTACTGGAACAACCCAGGCGCTTGGGTGGACTACAATGGTATCTCTGGGCCAACAGGTCACTTTTTGGGATTCCTAGCATCATTCGTCAACGCAGCTTTCTCTTTCATTGGTGTCGAGGTGGTTGTTATCACCGCTGCTGAAAGCATCAACCCTCACTCGGCCATCCCAAAGTCGGCCAAAAGGGTCACATTCCGCATCGCCCTTTTCTACATCCTAGGCGCTCTTTTGATTGGAATTATCGTCGACCCGAGGAACCCCGGACTCGTGTCAGGCACTGGAAACGCCAACTCTTCACCCTGGGTTATCGCGATCAAACAAGCAGGCATCAGCGTCCTGCCTTCGATCGTTAACGCCTGCATTCTCATCTCTGCTTGGTCGGCAGGTAACTCATACTGCTGGGTCGGATCCCGTATCATTGTCGCAATGACCACGGATCGCCAGCTTCCACAAATCTTCGGTCGCACCTGGAAGAACGGAGTACCGTACTACGCGGTCCTTGCATCTTGGCTCTTCGGACCTCTCGCATATCTTAGCCTGGGCGAGGGAGGAGCAGCGCAAGCTTTTGGATGGCTAGTGAGTCTCAGCACAGTTGCAGGCTTGATCGCCTGGGCAACATTGTGTTTCTGCTTCATCCGATTCCATGCTGCTATGAAAGCGCAAGGACTCAGCCGGGATAGCTTGCCGTGGAAGAGCCCCTTTCAGCCTTTTACCGCGTGGTATGGTTTCATTGGATCCACTATCATTACGTTGATCACTGGTTTCCCTGTTTTCCTAAAGGGAAATTGGAGCACCGGCGATTTCATCGCGTCGTATATTGGCATCCCACTTTTCATTGTTCCAATCATCATATGGAAGCTGGTGCACAAGACCAAGGTGCGTAAATTGCTCTTTCCGTACGTTGAACCTGCTGACATGATGTAGTTCGCTCGTGCTAATACCATCGATCTCCACTCTGGACGTCTTCGGTGAGTGTAGGCTGTGCAACTCCGGATTCTTCAGCGCTGGATGTTTGCGATTGATGGGAGTGGGCATGGAAACACTCGAGTAAGTCGTACTAGAAGGTAGCAGCTGTGCGTGTGAGCTACACTAAGTCCCACTGAAATTGTCTGGGAGCTCTGCGTAATGAAAGTCTACTACAAACATGTCTTGAGAGAGGACTTTGGTCGGTGTGATGAAAACTTTGAAGCTGACGTCTGTCCCGACTACGTAGTCTATCCGAAATCGCCCTGAATCGTTCTGTACGGGCTTTGACGAGGCACTAGCATGGACTGCTTCCAGATTCACGGTACCTCGCTCCCAGATGGCATCTTGAATATCACACCAGGGCTGTGGCTTCTCTGCCGGCGCATCTTGTTCGCATCCAAGGGATAGACAGATCTTGTATTTAGTAGTCTGCCCTGCTCTATTGGCGAGGCTGAATTGAAGTTCCAGGGATGCGTGCCAGGACCAAAGCCTGATGTCATTAGCCTTGCCCTGGAGGATGCTATCTTTCTCATTCCAGGCTTCTTTGGGGAAGCATCGGCATATCTCAATGCCTTCTGAGGGTTTGCGAACAAGGAATCC